AAAGGAGAGTTAATACTATGCCTTGAGATCACTTAAGGTGTGATTTAACCTGCTATCCTACTGTGTACTCAGCTGGTTTAAGTTTAAACTGCCTTTAAAAGAACCTTACTATATCCAGGTGTGGTGGCACATGCCAGGAGGCAGAGCCAGGGAGAGCTTTGTGAATTTTGACATCAGCCTGGTCTACAAAGCGAGTTCCAAGACAGCCAGGGCTGTTAACACAGAGAAACTCTGTCACAGGGGCAAAAAAGGTGAGGGGGGAAGGGGAGCTTACTATGTCCTTGATAACCTAAGTTAATGCATCTTTCATCTTAAATTATGTACTCTTCCATGATCCTGACCCAGAATAACGTACGTGTGTGTGTGTGTGTGTGTGTGTGTGTGTGTGTGTGTGTGTGTGTGTGTGTGTGTGTGTGTGTGTGTTTGGGGTTATCATTTGTTGAAAACAGCCTACAGGTTGGAAGCTACCTTAAACAACAAATATCATTCATGTTGGAAAGCAACTTATGGATAGCTTGAAAATGCATGTTTAGTTATGTTTGCTTTTCTAAGTGCTTCCGGGTCAGTTTGGAGTCTCTTCCCTTGTAAAGCTCTAATAAAGAGTTCGATAAAGATTCCCTCATGCCTTTCCTACGTATGCTTTCTGTGCTGTTCAAGATGTGTGAGGGATAGCAATGGGGTCAGTGAGACATCAGACAGTTCAGGTAAGCACAGACACATACAACAAAGATGTGAGTAACTACATACTACAGTTTGGGCAGAAGATACAGGGAGAGAAGTGGAGAATTTAAACTTGAGCTCATTCTTGATCAAACTAATCCAAGAGTAAGTGCTGTGTTTTATCCCTTAAGGAATCTTCAATACACTCTGGTGTTCTCTGATGTCATCTTTAATTTGTTAGCCAACACAGCTTCTGAATCTTAGAAAGAATGAAAGTAGTAGGACAGACATTACATCTAATGCCAAAATATAAAACCTATTTTACCACTGCTATACCAATTTTTCTTCTAGAAATAACTAGAAGAACTCAAGTCAAACTAATAAATTTATTTCTCAATACAGCTGATATGGTAATAACCTTATTATATAAATGTTTCTCATTCAAAACTTGATCAGTCTTATACTTAAAATCATATAAATAGCTAGTGAGCTATGTCAGACCAAGGGTCTGTATGCTATTTTAATAAGCCACCAGAATAATAACAATCATATTTAATCAAGTCAGAAACTTGATGCCTACAAATGAAATCCAATTTTCCCAAGAAGTGATGCACTTGATCTTTCATAGTTTCTTTAAACTATAGTTTGGAATGAAAAGGTTGGTTCAATGGTTAAGAACAGTTGTTGTTCTTGTAGAGGATCTGGGTTTGATTCCCTGAACCCACATGACAGCTCACAACGGTAACTCCACTCCCTGGAGAACTGATGCCCTCTCTTCTGACCTCAATAGGCACCAAGCACATGTACACCTGGTGCACATACATAGAGGCAAAACATTAACACATATAAAATAATAAATCTGAAAATGTTTAAACCATGAAGATTTGCTTGTGTACATTTTAACTGTCAAATCAAAAGTGACCATGAAAGGCAATCTCCACAGATGGATGGATGTACAGACACATTTTCCTCAGCCTGTCTAATAGTCAAGTCCTATCTTTGCAAGGGAAATCAATATGAGAGGTGAAGTTATCCTTGGGTTACAGAGATGACAAAGTGAGGAGCAAACACAGACCTTTAGATAGTGATTACACTAAAAGAACAACACCGGCATTGGCAAAAACCTCTCAAATTAAGTCCAGGAAATTCCTAAATAACTTCAAGATCTGAAAAGAAACATCTACTCATTCAAAAACCACTCAAGAAACTAAACTATGCCAATGTTGATAATGAACTGGACAACACAAACAAGAAACCAAAACACCATTTCTTCATAATAGCTGAAACAATCTCCAGAACTATTACAATCAAGGGTTGGTTCAAAATCTGTAACAAGGAAACTAAAAGATCATTTAAAGTATTTTCCCTCAGGCCAGTCTAGTGATACACACCTTCAATCTCAGCAGTCAGGAGGTAGAAGCAAAAACAGGCAGATCTCTTTAATCTCCAGGCCAACCAGGGCTACATGGTTAGACCCTGTCTCAAAAACAACCAAAACACTTGACTATAAACAGCATGCCTTAGGCAAAACTCACTGAAAAAGCCTCAAGTCCAAAACAGCACAGTTACAAGGATGTTCATAAGAAATTCTCAGCCTTAACTAAACTCTTTACTTGTAAAACTAGTAAGTATGAAAGAACCTATGTAAATGTCCACATGGCAATTCACTTCATTTTGTTCCTTTAGTAGATGAGACAGAAATACATTTCCATGACACTTTTTACGCCCTCCTTTTAGTTTTATTCTCATAAATCTGTTGTTTAACAAAGTCTAGAACACAGTAAGCACCAAGTGAAAATGTAGTACTCATTCTGAACACATGAATGACAGCTAAATGATGCTGAGCACATGTGATGCTCTATCTAAAACACAGCTGACACTCAAGTATCTATCTGTTGAACGTGAGTGACAATATTTGACAATGACTCTTTTAGGAGGGATGGGGAAAAACACTCATTGCCAAGAGAGATATTAAGACTCTGAAATGATAGGCTGGCATATCCAATGTTCTATTTTTAAAAATTAACTCATTTGGGAGATTTTTATCTTGAAGCCTGTGTTTAATTGTACTGATATGTATTTACAGTGAACAACTTTATATATATTTGTATACATAAAGACATAATGTGGTGCAATGACAGGATAACAGTTTTTAAAAGATAATTAGGTCAATAATAAGACACCATTTTTGATAACTGAATTTTGGTTGCAACTGGCCCTCTCTGTACCTGAGAATTTCATGTCTGAAAGTAAGAACTGACCTATCAGGATAAAAGACATTTTAGAATAGTACTGGAGAGGTGGCTCAGGAGTTAAAAGACCCAAGTTTAACTTCCAGCACACAGGGGGCTCCAATTCCAGGGGATCCAGCACCTCTGGTCTCTGAGTGAGTGTATCTACACTCATATGTACATGCTTGTGCGCGCGCGCGCGTGCACACACACAAACACACACAAAATTTGAAAAGCTTTTAAATATGAGAAAATATTTAGTCTGTAGTTAATATCCATCCACACTTGTGTGCATCACAACCCAATCCATACTGTACTGATTGATATACATTTAGTATAGGCCATGGAATTAATTTTTCTGTTTAAACCAGAAAAATTAAGTTTCTTATCTTTTAATCATATTTTTATTTATAAAGGGTAAGAAAATTTAATCACTAAAGCAAGCAACTAAGGTCAGGAAAGAAGAACTTACCTCTTATAGGAATAATTTTTTATTCTTTAATATTGTATTTTCATTCTTCAACCACAATGAGTTTCAGTATAAAACATTCTTTAAAGACCATTAAAAGGTAATAAGAGCTGGGCATGGTGGGCATGCCTCAACATAAATTTAGGCAAAGGGACCTCATGTCTGAAACCTGACTAGGTTACAGAGCAAGAGTGTGAATACTACATCCCACAAAAAGGTAATACAGAAATCATACGATAAAAATAAAAATAAGAATGCCTGTACTTTTGGTACTCAGAAGGTGAACAAGTTGATCTTATAATCTTAAGGCTAGTCTCAGCTAATTATGTTCTAGGTCAGCCTGGACTACTGACATGCTGTCTCAAAAAATCAAAACCAAATACACACACATACCAAATATGGGGGGTCCGAATGCCCCTCCCCCATGCAGTGCTAGGGACTGAAGTGCTGGGGCACACTAAGCAGGTTCTCTAGCAATGAACTATATATCTCCAGTCTTCTTAAACAAAAGAAAAAAAAAAAAAGTCTCAGTAAAGTGTTGAGGCTAGCCTTAAACTCACTCTGTAATCCAGGCAAGCCTTGAACTTGCAATCTTCCTACATCTGTTTCCCAAATAGCTGGGATTTCAGGCCTATACTACTAGGCCCGGTTGGCACCGTTTTGTTTTGTTTTGTTTTGTTTCAGAACTTAATTAACTGGAGGATGCCCAGGTGGTGTCTGCAATAGAACGGACTGTTAACTTGATGAAGGGAAAGAAATTCCATATATTTTGAGTTGATTTAATTTTTCACTATATCCTAGAGGCTAACTTAATATTATTTCATATTAAAGTAAAACAACGAAGGAAATTTAACCTGAAGTCATTAACCAAAATACCCTACTGTCTCAAACATATAGATCAGAAATAATACTGTTTGTTTGTTTGTTTGTTTGTTTGTTTGTGGGAGGTCTGAGACAGGGTTTCTCTGGGTAGCCCTGGATGTTCTGGAACTCACTTTGTAGATCAGGATAGCCTCAAACTGAGAGATCCACATGTCTCTGCTTGCCAAGTGTTAGGATTAAAGGTATGCACCACCACTGCCCTAGAAATAATAAATTTTATGGGTAACATTTATGGAATATTTCCACAGGCTAAACTTCTCTGTTCAATGACCTAGTGCCTTCCACTAGCTTGATTTTTTTAAAATTTATTTATTATGTATACAGTGGTCTGTCTGCATGTATGCCTACTCATCAGAAGAGGGAACCAGATCTCATTATAAATGGTTGTGAGTCACCATGTGGCTGCTGGGAATTGAACTCAGGACCTCTGGAAGAGCAGCCTGTGCTCTTAAGTTCTGAGCCATTTCTCCAGCCCCAGGCATTAGCTTAATTTCTACAATAAGACTAAGAGAAAGAAAATACAAAAAGCTGAAGACCTGTGGTAAAAAGCTATTTGAAAAGCCTCTAGGGACTTATTATATCCATGTGTTGTTTCAAATTTCTGATTATGATTCTCTATGCTTACTTTGTGTTCTTGAAGCATCTTGAAGATACTGTGGTATGGAGAATACACCATTGAGTGGCAAAAACGTATAGAGACCTTGTCTGCCAGTATTATCAATATGGAATACTTCAGAATTGTTTTTTGGTGATAGGGATTGAACCACATCTACACTTACCCCCAAACCAGATTGTAATTTTAGCAAAGATAGCTTTTTTTTTTTTTTTTTTTTGGTGAGTTTCTCTGTGTAGCTTTGTAAAACAGGCTGGTCTCAACTCACAGAGACCCGCTTGCCTCTGCCTCCAGAGTGCTGGGATTAAAGGGTTGTGCCACCACCACCCAGCTGAAGATAGCCTTTTAGGATTAATGTTCTTCTATGACTTAGCTATCTAGAGAGAAAGACTCTGAAGACTGACTGTAAAAGATGGTACAAATGCCAATCTTTCACTGATTTTTTTAGTTACATGGATTTTTGAGTTTACCCCATTCTTTTTCCCTCATAAGCCTTTTTATTAAACAATGTATATAGAACTCAGGGTTTGTCAAGACATGTGACACTATGGCACATTCCTATTTTCATTAGTTAAAACAATCGTTAGGTTTCTATGATGTAACTAGAATGTCAGGGAAAGGTTTTTTGCTTGTTTTATTCAGTTTTGCTTAATTTTTCTTTACATGGTATAAGTGCTTTGGCCTGAGTATTTCCTCAAAATATATTAGTGAAATCCTCACCCACCAGGCAGGGTGGGGACTAAGAGAGGTGATAAAGTGGGATGGGGCAGGCAGGATGTTGAGAATTCATTAAGTCCTAAGGATAGAGCCCTCATGAATGAAAATAGTACCCTCACAAGAGAGGTCCTACAGCCTTTACACTGTAGGCACAGTCTGAACCAAGGTATCTTTGAACCCCCATCAGACACTGAATCTGCTAGTTTCTTGACCCAGAATTTCCAGACTCAATACAGGGCAAATGACTGTTGATTATAGAGCACTTTGTTTATGGAGTTTTGTTATGGAGCCCCAGTAGACTAAGATAGGGAAGCAAACTCCAACTCTACTTATAAAATTAATTAAAATGTCTACCTTTAAGACACAAACTCAGAAATAGAAAGCTACTGTGACTCAAAATAACTTAGACATAAAAGATTAATTTATTGTGACCCTAGAAAATAGTTATGAAGAGCTCCCACACGCTACTCACATATACAAAGCACATGCTGTCTCCTAATAGAACAAGGAAAGAAAAAAGTCACTAGAGTGACCTATTCATAATGTATTAAATAAAGCCAATGAGCATATAAGCATGCATGTCTTTTAAACATATAAATACACTATCAAAACAGGGAGCTAGTGGAGCCTGGGAACTGGCCTAGCAGGTAAAACGCTTGCCGTACTAGCATGTGAACCTCTATGTGGACCCTAGCCATGTTCTGAGACATGGGCACAGAAGCACAGGTCTGTAACTCCAGTGCTCATAGAAGCAAATTCTAGATGCTCACAGGCCACTCTAGTGGAAAAAGTGAGCTCTAAATTCTGTGAAATAAATCAGGTGCAGAGTGATGGAGGACACCCAATGTCTACCTCTTGCCTTAACACATGAGTATGGGCAAACATAATCCCTTACACACACATGAATATGTGCCTTATAACACACCAGAAACATAGTGGAGAAAGTTACAGAAAGCACAGATTTAGAAGAGACTGTTGACCAGTATTAACTGCTTTCAATATAAAGCATTTTCAAACAAACTGACTCAAGCAATTTCCAGAGATGTTTATATTTTTCCCATTACCTTAATACTGGCCTTTTACTTTACAGCCCTCTAACCCCTTTCCCTATCAAAATATTGTGGTTTATGATCTACATAAATGCTACCATATTTACTTTTTAAACAACTGAATGGCAGGACATGTGCAAAGAAATATTTAAATAATTTCCTTAAGTAACTCAAAATTAGTATATAACATGTTAACTCCATAAAGGTTCTTTTTTCCTTTTTGTAAATTTTATGTATGGGTGTGTCTTAGTTAGGGTTACTATTGCTGTTTAAAAAAAAATGGCTAAAGAAACTTAGGAGGAAAGAATTTATTTGGGTTACACTTCCACAGCACTGTTCATTGAAGGAAATCAGAATGAGAACTCAAACAGGGCAGGAGCCTGAATGCAGGAGCTGATGCAGAGGCTATGAAGAGGTCCTGCTTAATGGTTTGCTCCTATGGCTTTGCTCAGGCAGCTTTCTTATAGAACCCAGGCCACCAGACTAGGATAGTACCACCCACTAAGGGCTAAGTCCTCCCACAACAATCACTAATTAAGAAAATGCCTTACAGCTGGATCTTATGGAGCCATTTTCTCAACTGAGGTTCCCTCCTATCAGATTACTCTAGCTCATGTCAGGATGATATAAAACTAAGCAGAACATAGTGTTTCACCCGAATGTATGTCTATACACCACTTGCCGGTCTGGTGCCCAGAGGCCAGGAAGTGTCAGATCCCTTTAGATTGACTGGAGTTTCAAGGGTTATGAGCCACCATGTGAATGCTGGAAATTAAACCCAGGTCCTCTCTAAAAGCAGCTGACGCTCTTAACCACCAAGCCCCTGACAACTCACCGAGTTCCAGATATCAAACTCAAGTCCCCATCTCAGCAGCCTTGATGGAAAGCATCTTTACCCACCTAACCACCTCACCAGCTGGTTCTTTGTAATTGTTTCTGATGAGAGCATCTTCCCTAAGAGTAAATAAATAGCACTCAAAACCATGCATATCAAGAATTGACTAGCTTGAGATTTTTCTCTTATGTCAGTCACTATGTAATATGCAGAAGCTATAAAAGGACACCACTCACATACATGCCCATCTTAGGATTTCATTCCAAAAATGTTTCTCTTATTGAATGATGGGAACTCTATCATTGGTTGCACAGGCCTAATCCATGGAGTCAACTTTGGCTCTTATCTTCACTTTACATACCATCTAATCTGTATCTGCTGTTTCTTCCTGTTGGGGTGTTCTTTTTACACACATGTACCTCTTGACCATACTTCCTTAAAGTCCCACCTTCAAACTATCACTGTCTCAGTAAGACCTCCGATTTATATATAACAAGACAATAAGAGCAATAACAACGATGACTGCTTAAAAAAACATATTGACTATCAACAATAATCTCACCCACATACATATTATACTTTAAAAGATCAGTGCAACTGCATAAAGCCAGACTTATGTAATAGTGAAACTTGTACCATCATCTAGAGAGCTAGGGCAATTTTTCTCATAAACAAGGTTTAAAATACAATTTGCCGGGGCTGGGGAGATGGCTTGATGGTTAAGAGAACTAGCTGCTCTTCCAGAGGACCCAACAACCACAGGGTAGCCCACAACCACATGTAATGCCTGCCATAGGGGATCCATAACCTCCTCTGGCCTCTGAGGCTACTGTATGCAAGTGATATTCCCACCCATTTTTACTTACACACACACACCACATCAAGTTACTGCACCACACATAAGAAATTTGCCATGAAGTTGGTAGTACTAGTGGATTTTCCAGTACACTGCACCTTTATAAATGAAATAAAACTGCTAAGTTAATACCTGAAGGAAACAGATTCTCACCTTCAGTTTTTCCACTTTAAGGAATTTATGTCTTCCATGTGTCAGACACTCTTCTAAGTGAAGGGGACAGAGCACTGGAGGAAAGTCAAGTTCTAGAAGAGGGACATCTCAGTTATCCAGCATGAAGAAGGGTCTGGGTTCAACCTTGGCATGGGGGATAGGCCTCCAATTCCTCCCTGTTTGTCCCTTTAACAAGCATCAAACAGGTCAAGCCTTTAAAAACCACCTTTAAGAGTTCCATTGATGAAGTCGTAAAACAGAAATGGGGGCTAGAGAGACAGTTCAGTAAAGTTTGTACAAGGACCTAAAATCTGAGCATAGTGGCAGATGCTTGTAATCCTAGTGCTGGGAAATAGAGATAGGCAGATCCTTGAGGATCACTGGCCAGCTAGCCTAGCTTACTTGGCCAGTTCCAGGCCAGTGAGAGATACTGTCTCAAAAACAAAACAAAACAAAAAAACAGATGATGCCTGGGAAACACAAACGGGGTGGGGGGGGTTGAGGGGTAGGGGTAGGGAGGGTTGTCACCTGTCTTCAAGTGAACACACACACAAACACGCAATCACCACTTTCTGGTATAAAGTATATGATGAAGTTACCAAGGCATACAAGATACTTGAAAGCAACAAAAATCAAATATACAAATGAATAAATGTTCCCAACATATTTTTGTTTTTACAAAATTCCATTGCAGCTTCATAGCTTTCATCCTCCATACTCAGAGCCATTACTGTTTACTTCTTTCCAACCCAACTCAACTTGCACAATATCACACTGCAGTTCCCAATGGTTCACAACAACTGTCTTGACAGGTTCTTGACAACTCCTAAATCTAACAGTTACTAGACTTCTGCTCTTTGCAGTATCTGACCCAGTGACCAGGTTCTCTCTGCTTATTTCTGGAGTGGGAGTACTGCACTGTTGAAGACTACTGCTCTTACTACGGGTTTCTACCACCAGCTTCTACTCATTCCTTACATGCGGGTGCTTCCCAGCTGTTTCTGCTTAGTTCTCCACAGGAACTTGCTCTAATTACCACCAACTAGTCTTCGAGTATGTTTTTCAAATCTGACCTCTTGAGTTGGAATCCCATATATGACTGGCCACTGACTACCTTCATCTACCTCCCTTGAATCAGCTTTCAAAACAACTCAAGGTCTTGGTCAACTAACCCAAAACTTCTCCCAACATAACTGAACTCCTCTACTGTCCATTTATTTCAGTATCACCATACCCTAATAAATGTTACCAATGTTCCCTTAGAATACATGTAAAGCATTAAAATCCCACCCCCCTTCTTGACAAAGCTTTAAGAGTTCTTTAACTTTATTCTGTTAGAACTGGTCTGACTAGTTGTATTGGAGAAATATAACCTTACCCTCTCTCCCCAAAACACAATTCATCTTCATACTATCTCAAAATGTCACTGGGTTGCTTTTAGATATCATCAAGAAAGGACTTTAAAGTAGACTGAACATTTTTTGCTATTTCAACTAGAGTCTACAAAGTTTTTAGAATCTTAGTAAATAATTTTTTAAGAGCACAAATGTGTATGGATATCCCAAATTTCTATTTTTTAAATTTTTTCCCACAGGAGAAGAAAGTCAAGCAACATCGACAACTAGGGAAAGTTACCCTATTATGAGCAAGTAAAATCTCCAACAAATCTTCCCAAGGAACTAACTGAAGATGGTTTTGTAATTGTAAACCATAGCATGGTTGCATGCTGAAAGCCTTCCCCAGCACAATGAAACCCATAATTCTATTATAAGCCATCCTAAAAGCACTAAATAGAAGCTGTCATTTGACTAAGAAATGAAAATAGCACACTGAAAACAGCAACAGGCTTATAATCCCAGCACTCAGGGTACTGAGGCAGGAGGATCCCAAATTCAAAGCCCACCTGAAGCTACCAGGAAAGACCCTGTCTAAAATAATGGGGGTGGGTGGGTGTTGATGAAAGTAAAAAGGGTGAACAAGCAGCTAAGAATTCATGAAAGGATAACTGGAGAGAAAGAATAAATTACCTGGGATTAAAGAATATTTATCCATTAGGTAAAGGAAGTGTCCTTCTTTCCCCTAAAGCATGATTAAGCACACACAATTCCAACTGTAGGAAGCACATATCTACATCATATTCTATTACCAGGCATGATCATTCCAAAGTACACTGAGTTGGTATGAGTGGGAAATTACCCAACACAAACATGAGCTTCAGGAGGTACTTCTCAGGAACAGCAATAGAAAAACCATCTGCTTGATGTTTGAGATAGTATTTCAACTTCCCTGGTGAGCTCAAGGAATCAACCACAACAGCACAATCCTAACTGCTTCAAAATTTTAATTATTCATATAAACTGGCCAGGAAATTAAAGTTAAATGTTACACAAAGGGATGTCTACCCTTATAATATTTTCTGGCTAATTATTCTCACTACTAGTCTATAGCCACTGTTAAAACTGGGAATGCTTTTGTATACAAAAGTACGGTTAACCAACACAACTCACAAAATTGTTCATTTTACAAGGAATTAAAAATCCTTCTATAAACTCATCCCACAAAATGAAACATCAAATGCTAGTCACTGTCCAAACACTTTAACTACTGGGAAAAGACCAACTTTATTTATTTAAAAAGGAAAGGGAGGAAGGTTACAGTGCTTGCTTAGCATGTGCAAAATCCTGGGTTCAAGGCCAAGCACACCAAAAATTAAGTTAAAGTAGACATTTAGGTAATTATAATCTCTATTTTCCTTTATAATCTGTTTTCAGATTATCTTCAGTACTCAAATGTTTTACAGTATGAAATTATGTTAAGCTTTGCGTATGATCTAAAACTTTTCACAAACAACAAAAACAGTCCCATGTGATGTTTTTGGTGTGTGTGTGGGGGCGGGTGGGTATGTGTGATTCCAGCACTCTGAAGGCAGAGACACAATCAGATGTCTGTAAATTCAAGGCCAGCCTAGTCTACATAGTGAGTTCCAGCCAAGCCAGGACTATACAATGAGGTCCTATCTCAAAAACTATAGATAGATAGATAGATAGATAGATAGATAGATAGATAGATAGATTAAATTCTGTTATTCTTTTAATTAGGAAAATTGTCTTCTATTTTGATATAAATATAAGATATATAATAGTAAAAGTAACTACTTTGATTAAAAAAAAATCATGGTGAAACTCCAATCTTTAAATTATTTTAGTCATTGAAGTGATTGTTCTTTTCAAATAGAGAAATACTCAGTTCCAAATAACTCCACGTTCATAACTTCCAACAGTGAACACAGGTAGTGTTTGTCACCTATAATGGCAACTGTGTACTACTAGATGACAGACAGAATGCCCATAAAATGTCTTAAACATAAAGCTTGTCTAGAGAGAAAAAAAATCATTAAGATAATCAAGCAAAAACGTTCCAAATTCCTTCAAAGGCAAAGAAAGAAAAGAGTAGCATTAAGATGACCAAGGCAGAAACACTGGCTTGCTTAGTGTCGCCCCCACCTCTAAACCCACAAGCACAGCATTCACTGCAGCTGTGGCTAGTTTGTAAGGAGCCTTTCACTGCTCCACAAAGGCTAGCGCTACAGGGGCTCATCAGTTTTTAAGCCACATCCACAGCTGCTGTCTTATAAAAAAACAACCAGATTTTAAAATGACATATATAAAACAGTTTTAGATACAACTAAAATTAAAAGCACTTGAGTGTAACAGAGAAAATCAATGGTAGACAGGCATAGTGGAACATAAATCTGTGGCTAGCCTGAGCTACATCACACACTCTCACATACACACACACACACACACACACACACACACACACCTTTAAACAACAAAAGAAAGTCATGAATGGTGCTTAAAGTATCAAACTATAAGACTACTGAATGACTCTTCTCAGCAATACCTTCAATTGATAATGTTATTAGAAGAACTTTAGCATTCGATAACCAATAGTTGAGAGCAGAATGTTTCTCATGACTATAAGCTTATGTTCTTGCCACAAAATGGCCTCCCAAACTCATATTGAAATACAAAATAAAAAAATGGCTGGACAATGGTGGCTCATGCCTTAAATCCCAGGAATTGGGAGGTAGAGGCAGACGGATCTCTGAGTTCAAGGCCAGCCTGGTCTACAGAGTGAGTTCCAGGACAACCTCCAAAGCAATTCAGAGAAACCCTGCCAGGCACGCACCCATGCATGCAGAGACCAGATGGGATGGGACAGAACAGGACAAACTAATAAAAATAAAACCCTCAACTGGACAATATGAAGAGTCTTTGGAGCACTCAGTCCTAAATGAGAATTCTTCGTGAAACCTCTTCCCTCAAGGCTAAGAGTCCTATGAGGAAGAAAAGGCAGAAAGACTGTTAAGAGCCAGAAGTGACAGATAACTCCAAGGACACATTAGGATTGCTACATAGATGAACTCAAAAAACTGAGGCAGCATGCACAGAACCTGCATATGCTCAAGCCAAATGGGGTCCCAGCACTGGGAAGGGGAAGTAGACATGGGCTCTCATCCCTAACCAAGAGGCTATCTACAACAAATACTCAAAGGCAAAGGAAAAAGCAGTTTTCTCCAGGGGACATCTCAGGGCAGGCTCCAGGCCCAGGAGTAGCTGGCCAACATAAACACTCAATGGTATTTTTGTGGACATTTTATTTCTTTTGTTTGTTTCATTTCATTTTTTGTTTTGGATTTTTTTTTGTCTTACTAATGTTTTGCTTTTTGTTTTGTGTTTCTTGTTTTATTTTTTTATATTTGTTTTAAAGAGAGGGAAAGAAAGAACATAAAGTTAGGTAGGTAGGGATGGGGGGAGGATCTGAGAAGATTTAAGGAGAGGAAAACATAACCAAAAAGTATAGTATGAAAAAAAATGTTGTCAATAAAATGGAAATAGCTACACTGTAAATTTTCATTTTATGTCACAATTATATTACAGAATTTAGGAAGTCAAACTTAGACTGGAGTCCTAATTTCTAAGTAAAACAATGATAATTTGCTAAATACACATGAGACACAAAATGTTTTAAATCTTTTTATTAAAAAAGAAGTGAAAAAATAAGTAACTAAAATCCCACATGGTATACAGGCAAGACAGCGCAGTAAAAAAATAAGTAACTAAAATCCCACATGGTATACAGGCAAGACAGCGCAGTGGGGTCAGGGCATTTGCTATCAAACCTGAGTTCAAGCCCCAGACCCACATGGGAGAAGGAATCCTGATTTCTCAAAATCAATTTCTCAATTTTCCTACTCCCCAAATTGACCCAAGACACCAAATGCTGCTGAAGTGAGTTAAATCAAAATGTAAGAACCCGACGGCTACTGAAGTCCCACTGTGTGAAGAGAACTGGTAAACTTGAAAGGAGTGATTTTGGAGTGGTGGGAACCAGGGAGAGTGTGGGTGCAAAGAACAGCAGCATTAAGTGGCCACTATAGAACTTTTCAGCAAAGAGGTAAGAACTGGGGTAGAGAAAGCAGGAAAGAGCTGCTGAGTTCAATGTTTTAACCTAGACAAGGTGAACAAGGCTTTTAGAGCACAAACTCAATGGCCCTTAGAGCTCTCCAAGCGTCTGCAAACACTGCAGTATGTACGGCCTCTTCTTGAGGGCCTGATGAAGCAGGCAGGTAGACCCTAATGTTTCTATACAAGAATTACAGGGTAAAATTCAAAGTTTGTACTTCTGTCGAGTTTCTAGATGACCCTGATCTAGAAATGCTGTATACTTGACTATCCTCTTTAAAGAAGATAGATCCTGGGCTGAAGAGATGGCCCAATGGTTCACAGACAGTCTGTTCTTCCAGAGGACCCAGGTTCAATTCCAGCACCCACATGGCAGTTCCAATTCACAAAGACATACATTTGAGCAAAATATCAATGAATATAAAATAAAGTTAGATCCTATATTCTATAACACCTACCTAAATAAACCAATCAATCAATAAATGCCCCCCTAAACAGTTTCAAGAGCTAAATTTCTTTAAATTGTGAAAGAGCTTGGAGAGAGTGTTGTATGATATTTTGACTATGCTTTCACAAATAAAGCTTACTTGAAGTCAGAGGGCAGCAGAGTCATCCACTAGCCAACCAAAATTAACCATAGAGGTTTGGAGGATTGTAGACAGAGGAGACAGGAAATAGTAAGGCGGGGCTGAGAGAGGATCCTGGCCTTTTTGGAGGGAGGAACAGTAGAAGCAGGAAGTCTTGCAGCTGCTCCCTGCTTCTCTGATCTTTTAGATTCATACCCCAATATTTACTCCAGATTTTTTACTGATAGGATTAATTTGATTAATGCTTCAGGGGAGGCGGGTTAAGAATGCTTTCATAATCCTAGGTAGGATGAAGGAGGTAAAACATAAAACTCCTAGCTACATAAAAAATCTTAATGCCTGTTCAACACAAATAAGAATCAGTTAGGTAAAAAGCTAAGGGAAGCAGCCAGGCTGGTGGTGGTGGCACACACCTTTAATCCCAGCAGTGGGAGGCAGAGGCAAATGGATCTCTGAGTTCAAGGCCAGCCTGGTCTAGCATTCCTGGATATCGAGGGCTACACCAAGAAACACTTTCTAGAAAAACAAACCAACAAAAAATGTAAGAGAAAATATTTAATATAGAGAATTGACCCAAGAATGATTGGAAAAAATACAAGTTCTTACACAAATTGAGAAAAAAAGACTTCAACAGAAAAATACATTTATAAATGTAATTCATCAATAAAATGTAAATGTATAATAAGTACAGTTGAAAAACAGAAATTCCACCTTAAAATATCCATGCTTTTCATTTTCACAGATACACAGATACAATGATGGCAAGAATTAAGAACCTCCAAGCAGTGATTAAGAATGATGGGAAACCCCAGGCAGTGGTGGCCCTCGCCTTTAGTCCCAGCACTTGGGAGGCAGAGGCAGG